GCAAAGCATTCATTTTTTTTCTAAAATTCAAATCTATTTTTGTCCTCCACTCTTCGAAAATAGTTTCGACCCCCCTGCGGGCGCCGCCCGTGATATCCCGAGAGGTCTCCGCACCCACACCGCTTCCACCGCCTCCACCGCTCTGTTCCAAGAGTCTTTCACGGCTGTATTTGTAGGTGTTTGAAGAGTATTTAAAGGCTACCAATGTATGCCCGGACCCCCCTGCGCCCCCTGCGCCCCCACCGCCCTCACCGCCCTCACCACTCTCACCGCCCTCACTGCCCTCACCTGCCTTTGTACCACCACCCTCACCGCTTGATCCTCCCGCACCCAGACCGCCCCCACCGCTCTGTTTAAAGAGTCTTTCACCGCTGTATTTGTAGGTGTTTAAAGAATATTTAAAGGGTGCCCGAACCCCCCCGCGCCCACACCGCCCCCACCGCCCTCGCCGCCCTCACCACCCCCACCGCCCTCACCACCTCCACCACCGCTCTGTTTAAAGAGTCCTTCACCGCTGTATTTGTAGGACTTTAAAGAGTACTAAAAGCCTGCCAATGTACCCCCACCGCCCTCACCACCCCCACCGCCTAATCCTCCCGCACCCAGACCGCCCCCACCGCTCTGTATTAAGAGTCTTTCACCGCTGTATTTGTAGGTGTTGACAGAGCTGCCAATGTGTGCCCGGACCCCCCCGCACCCCCACCGCCCCCACCGCCCTCACCGCCCACACCACCCCCACCGCCCTCACCACCTCCAGCACCCCCAGCCACCGCCACCACCTCCATGCTTCCGCCGCCCTCACAGCTCTCACCGCCCTCACCACCTCCACCACTGCCACCACCCCCAGTGTTCAGTCAGGGGAGTTAACCGCTGTGTTTGTAGGTGTTTAAAGAGTATTTAAAGGCTGCCAATGTGTGCCCGGACCCCCGCGCCCCACCGCCCCCACCGCCGTCACCGCCCTCATCACCCCCCACCTTCCTCCGCCCCCCCGGCACCCCCACCGCCCCCACCGCCCTCACCGCCCACACCGCCCTCACCGCCCTCACCACCTCCACCACCCCCAGCCACAGCCACCGTTTTCGCTACCCCCACCATCTCCATTACTGCCACCACCTCCACTGTGCTCGCACCGCTTTCACCGCCTTCACCGCTTCCACCGCCCTCACAGCTTTCACCCCTCACCCCCCCCACCACCTCCAGCACTGCCGCCACCCCCAGTGTTCTGTCAGGGGAGTTAACCGCTGTATTTGTAGGTGTTTAAAGATTTAAAGGCTGCCAATGTGTGCCCGGACCCCCCCACCGCCCCCACCGCCCTCACCGCCCACACCGCCTTCACCACCTCCACCACCCCCATCCACTGCCCCCACCGTTTTCACAACCCCCACCATCTCCATTACTGCAACGTTTTCGCTGTGCCTCCACCGCTTTCACGTACCGTGCCGATCCACCGCTCTCACAGCTCTCACCGCCCGCTGCATTTGTAGGTGTTTAAAGAGTATTTATTAAGAGTATTTAAAGGCTGCCAATGTGTGCCCGGACCCCACCGCCCTTACCGCCCACACCCCACACCGCCCTCACCGCTCTCACCATCTCCAGCACCCCCAGCTAGCCACCCCCCTCACCGTTTTCACCACCCCCACCATCTCCATTAGTGCCACCACCTCGACTGTCCCGCACCGCTCTCACAAGACTTGCAGGCCCTATCTTATTATTTCGTGTCAATTCCTCCATATCAGGGTTGGCTGCTTTCAACACCTGCTGCCTTCCTTGGATAGTCACCTCTCTTCTTCTGGGGTCGGCGGCAGTGGCGGCAGCCCATAAATCGGGCAGCGCTTCGCTGCCCTGTATGGACTGAGCTATGGCTCAGACGAATGGGCTTGTCTTGCGAAGCAAAAGACACGAAAGTCTGTGCCGCCGACCCGCCGCCGACCACGCATCATCGGACCTTCGTTTCTCCATCGGGCCGCGCGGGCCCTGGCCCGGAGGCGTCTCGGAACGCGCACGCGCTTCGCAGCCATTCCCCACGGCATGGCGGGTTTCGGGGCCGCCGTGGACGACCCCAGGAGGCGAGCCGACGAGCATCATGAGCACTCCGGCGCCCGCAACCGGCCCCGCGGCGCGAAGTGGGCGCGAAGTGATGATTTCCAAGTTTTTGCGTGGGTTGCGGAAGCCCCAAAAGGGCGCGCATCATCAGCATCAGCGGGGTCCGGCGGAGGGCGGATGCGGGCTACATGGAGGGCCGACGAGGGCTAAGAGCGTAAGATCACCCATAAGTTGTGCACTTCGGGCCTACGTTGCACTTTTGTTCCGGTGTCAAGCTGTCGTTGTCTCCGCACCGTCTGGAAATTTCGACCGTGTCTTTCCCGTTCCCCCGCTACATCCGCTGACAACAACTCGCGCTGCCCGCACCTGGGCGCAGCCCCTAGAATATAGCAATCTGAGAAATATTTCGCCTATCTAGAGTCTTGTATAGTCTTGTAAATTTTCTTTTGGTCTTATAGCCGGCGTCATTTCATTAGGTAGTGGCAAGGGACGGGCCAAATCTCCCAAAATCTATGGGAAATTATCGAAGAAGCCGGCACTGTCCGGGTATTGAGGAAGCTGCACAGCATGTCGTCCCAGACGATGTGGCATGCGGGTGCATCGCCTGCTCTGACTTGACTTGCACGGCAAGGACCAACACGGCAGCACCAAGGTCCGGGGATCGATGATGATTCTCCACAAACAGCACTGGCTTGGCACGAAGACATGAAGACGATGTCGATGCTGGTATCCACCACGTCGCCGGGCCCAATCATAATGAAGGATAGTGCGAAGCAAGGAGTGCAAGCCTCAAAGACGGCGCACCTCACAACAACTTCTAGATCCCTGTTTGCACTTTGGCACGAGAATTTCCGCCGTAAGTGCCCGACTGCAATCCTGTGGGTTATATCCCAGTGTGCCGGCCTCAAAAGTGAAACATCAAGACGCACGCCCAGAAACATCACACAGCAATCCTCAGTCGTCGAACTGTTTATGCCAAAGCCGTTGTCTGACTTCGCTTTGGAACGACCAGCTCAGATAACACACAAAGATCGCGGCAAGAACTCTGGACGCATGATGTGGACCTGAAATAGCCCACAACGCACTGGTCACTTCCAACGCGCCTGTCTCGTTCTCAAAGGAATCTCTGCTCGCAGCGAAATGTGCTCTGCATCTGCAAACCAGGTCTCCCAAGTCACCTCGGAGCACACGAGCCCATTTAAAGCACCACCTTGACGATATAGTTTCAAGCCAGCCACGCTTTGAATCCATCCACGCTTCGACAGTCCTGCGTCCAACCTCGACGGAATGTGCACAGATGCCATGATTTTGACCCGGAAGCAGCTTCTGTTAAAGAGTTTATATATCGGATCCACCGATCGGGGCAAGAAGGATGAGATTGCTTGCGGACTGCCAAGGGCGTGAATGTGGATTCTTGGTTGCATGACACAGGTCAAGAAGACGAAAGTCAAGCTGTGGTCATCCCAAACCACCAACCCGTGATGACCTCCGTCTCCTGCTGGTTCCGGCATCGAGCCCCTGGGTGTCGACCTTCGAGCAAGAGTTGCTCCGTGGAAGCTCACATGGGCTACAGTAAGCGTTGAAACCTGGCTCGCTCCAATTGGATGCGCGCCAAAGGACCTTCAAAATTTGCGGCTCGTGGCATGTTTGTTCTGCTGCCGCCTCTGTGAAATGGATATTTCAAAAAAGCAAACACAACACGACTGGCTCATGATGACACCTAAAGAGCGCGTGAAAAGTCGAGGAAACATTGTCAATCCAAAACCGTAATTCACGCAAGGCCCTTCCGGACGGAGAGAGCCCAGTCCAGATTGAGGGCAACCGATTTCCTCCAGTCCTAGAGCCGATTCTTGGCACGCACTAAATCAAATAGAGGCACTGATGAACTGTTCACAGTGACTACTGGAAACTGGAGCATGCCCCTGTCCAAAACAGCATCCTTTGATCTGTCTCGGCTCGTCTTGTCGTCAGCCTCAGGCTCTTTCTCCAGACTTGTTGAGGCTGTCATTTGCTGATCCTGTTCTGTTGCGATGGTGCGCACGTGGTAGCTATCTGTACCCGCAACCTGACCTGTTATATGCATGTGTGCATCTGTACTGCAGGGACAGACATGCTGTTTTGGCAGCAAAATCGAAAGCTGTAGTTGGGAGGGTGCACCGGGCCCACCCTCCTGCATTTACCTCATCCGGCCACCTGGGGCCATCCAACAATTGTGCCCTCTCATCGGGCGACTGGCAGCCGCATTGCTGCAAGGTGATGGCGCACCTGTCGCGAAGAGTCGAGCCTGGCCGGAAAATCCCTGGGAACCTGGACGAGCCGTTCCTGCACACCGGACGAACTGAACTCACAAACTCAAGTACTGCAAAGCTGTAGTCCACTCGTTCATGCAAAGTAACAGTTCTGCACGACGAGCATGAGAGTCCCATGGCACAATCAACAACTTGCGCAAGCACGCGCACGAATGCGCAACTATTGATCCTGAGATACATGCTACTTGGTAGTGATGATTTTCCACCTACGGTCCGTTGACCCCATTGTTTTGGGCCGAGCACCGACTACGCTGACGGCACACGGCAAGGGCAGTTGGTCAACATGTCCACGCTTTGATCAGACTTAGACTGTAATCAAGCTTGTCCGAGTGAAGGCGTACGGCGTACGTGAAGGTCTTCATGGTTCGCATTTTCGATGCCACCATTGTGAAGACGGCTGTTGCGTCAAGAACCTCGTCCGCCCGAAAACGCCCACACCGCATTGCGCTGATGTTGATGACTTTGCTGGTATCGTAGAAACCCGAGTACTGCTGGGAGGAGGGTTCACCCTTGCTTGCATCCGTTTTTCATGTCCATTCCCCTCCTCCGTCCTCCCTCCGTCCTTCCGAGCAAGACAACGGATCTTGTCAGTCAAATTGGGAGGCTCTGGAAGGCACTTCTGCGATTGTGGTGCCTTGGTGCCTTGCTCCTATGCAATGTGCCAGTTGTCTCTCGGAGCTCGTGGAGATCCGCTGCAACCCTGACCTTCTTGTGTCTCCCAGTGACCTCCCAACAAGCTCCGACCTTCGTGGCACCAGGCCACCGCCCTTCAAGTCTGCTGATCAGCATCGGTGCCTCGGCGCAACTGCTAGAACCAGGGTGGAGCTATTGAGTCCAGCTCACTCCTTGACACGTTTCCGGTTTGGAACCGGCTTGGCAAGCCTTCTGCTGGAACGCCCTCTCGTAGCAAGACAACCCGACATCTGCAGCGACCTGTAAACAACTGCATCTGCCTTGACAAGTACAGGTCTGAATCGAGGCCTCTGGTTCGAGGCATGACAAGTCGTCGCCCAACTCCTGCTTTTGCATCGAAAACAGCAGTATTACGACGGAATTTCTCCCAGCGGACCCAGGCTCGCAGGATGCGCTGGAAGACCTGACTGAGGCCAAGGACGCTTCGCTTCGTACTCGATGCCTCGATGCTCGAGAAGCGGAGCCAGGAGGCGGGCCACTTCAGCACGCGGCCACGGCACGTTGTCACCACCTTTCAAGAGGCCAGATGCCTGCAGCCATTGGCCATAAGACGAGTAGACAGGTTCCGACGCCAGCTGCAGGGTCCCGGCACAGATGGCAGCTCGACGTCTGCACATAGGAATGCTCATAGTTTTGCATTAGAAAGTGACTTCCGCGACAGGCTGTTCCTGACATGCATCCCGGCCTCGGATCACTTTTGGCGGGGCTTGCTTTTGGCACTCCAACGTTCACCTCATGTTCCCGGGAAATCCCGCAGGGGCCAGGTACCCTTACACGTGCTCCATGCACAGCTGTCGCAAAGCCTCATGCATGCCTGAGCCGTGAGACCGACACACAGCCACCCTTTTCTCACCCCACAAGCGAGCCAACAATGGTCCTTCAAGCTGCCTTTGCTATCCTCTGCTGACCTGTCCCGAGCCAACTGCCTCTCTTGCGAGACTCTCCTTGATCTGCTGGCCGTGCTCTGTGGAAGCTTTGTGGTGACCTTGCGACTCTGCTGGTCCCAGACATTAAGAAAACATGCTGTCGGGGCCCTGGCAAGGAACACACAGCAGCAGAACATCATGAGATCCAGGCCTATCTTCGATGCTACTCGAGTACTCTGTCGTCAGTTCGGGCCAAGGAAGCCCCGAGGATGCCGCTGATGCGATGTGGGCAGAAAGCTCCGAAAGCAGCTCGGCCTCGTCAAGTCAGAGATCGCGGGGCCAGCCTATGAGTGGTGAATTGGGCACCAGGGCCATCCAGGGCCCAAACACGAGGTTGTATCTTGCCAAATGGACATCGCTTCCACAAACCACGCAGCGATTCTCCTTGGCAGACCTGCTCAAGCTTTGGCACTGCGAGCCACCTCCTGGAATTGTCGGCGTCCGGGCGTATAGAATCGCTCTCGCCTGGTCAGGGACTTCGTCGCGTCTGCTGACATGTCAAGTTGCAAAGCTGCGACCACATTTCAATTGGGGAGTCAGCTGCTGCATGTGCTCGTCAGGGACATTCTCAGACGACCTAGCACATCAGACTCATGCCGTAAGAGTCTGGCTCTCTGACTGTTGCCACAGAGCACAACCTCGGAACCTTTGCTTACTGGCCTGAGCCTGTCCTCACGAAACCTTTCCAAATCGCACGGACGGTTGGTACTTTTTTGCATTGTCTCAGCCAAAAAGAACAACCAGCAGAACAATCCGCAGCTGAAAGTGGTGGGGCACACATGCTGCCGACAGTGAATAAATGAAACAACAGCGCGAACAAGGGCATCCAAAACTCTGTCGCTGCAAGTTGGTGGTTGTTTGCCGTGCTGTCAATGTCGGAACACATCTGAGAAACTATTTATGTCAGTCGTGTAAGCTGAGCAGCTTGCCCCAACTCGTTGCGAATGCCGAAGCGACCACGAGGCTCAAAGAGAAGCCGTATGCAGTCAGTCCTTGCGCTGCATCTTGCTAGCATGAAGGTGCAGAAGGTGAGCTTTAGCCAAGACAGCCGCCTAGGGTCCCGGCTGGCCGTCCTCGAACCTCAGAGGAACAAAAAACCTCTGCCACTCTCTGTATATCGTTAAGTCATAAGAGAAAGCCTGCCAGTTGCCCGTCTCAAACACACACAGACACACACACACACACACACGTTCACCCACTCCAGTAGAGACTATCAGATTCAAACCACAGCTCAGAACGTCGGCGAAGTGACGATTGACCTGCACGCCCAAACTCCACGAGGCGAGCACCGGGCAAGCCCGCGCCTCACCTGAAGTTCCAGGCAACAGTCTCAGGAGATTTGTCCCTCCTACCTAGTCTCAGGAAATCTCTGGCAGGCTTGGGGTTTCAACCTTCCCTTGCACAGCCTTCAACATCAAAACATCAGCTGCAATCAGAACTCAGAACCCCGCATACCAGTTCAGCTTCTTCTTGTCAACAGTGCAGAGTATTTGGCCATCTGGGGCTAGAATCCTGGCAGGCGTGCATGTGCTGGGAGTGCCAGTGCATGAGCTGTGAGATCGCCGGGAACTTTCAGATTGGAAGTACCGATCCCCGGTCAAGATGGTCAAAAATCGCCGCACTCCTAGCTCAGACGCCAAAACTGGACGACCCCTTTTCTCCGTCGTGTGGATGTGTAGCAGGCTCAGGCCCTACAGCCTTGAGAGTTTAGACGTCGAAGTCGCGTCGAGCCAGGGTGCTGAAGGCAGCTGCGCCGTTCGTGATTGCTACGGCATAAACGAGTGTACTACACAACACAACTCAGCCAAAAGCCTTCGGCCTTAACGTCTGCATTAAGGCAATAAAGCTCTGACGGAAAGAACTGCACTACATGAGCGGGCCTGCAATTCTCGTAGACAGGTCCTTTGGCAGCCACGCGCTGCACGAAGCTCAAGAACCTGTCTGGCGTAGCCAAGCTATCTGGAAAGACCGTGTCAAAGCTCCAGCCTTGCTCGCTTTCTCAGTGGCTCTTGCATGACCTTCGCTCACGACTGTTCATACTTTTGCAGATACCCAGTATTGACCATGGGTTGCTGAAGCTGCGGCTCGATCCTGCTGCCTTTCCGGAAGCCTACAGTAGTGGACTGCGGAATGCATATGAGGAAGTGCGTGATTATCAGTTTCGTGTCGTGTTCTCAGTACTTGAGAGCCACGGCCTGGAAGCACAGCTCTATACTCGCATTCTGTGATTCTGTTGGTTTGCTGGCGTCGTCCAACCCTGAGCAGAGCTTAAACAAGCATCAGCATCATGGACATCCTGACGAGTTCCGGCTGCGCCTGGCGAAACCTAGTGAAAGAACACTTCTTTCGAGCAATTCATTGTTGGAGGATATGTCAAAAGCAGTGAAGCATATCTTGCGGCACCAGCCTGCTGTGCAGGCAGAGGCTGGGCAGCTAGGCTCGGCTTGCAATGCGTTGTTTGCAGACTTCCGGGAGGCGTTAGCAGATTTGTAAAAGCTTCTCAAGCAGATACCTCCAGATGAGGTAACCACACCCTTTGAGTCGCGCGCCAAAGCCTGAATAAGCCGGGCTGATTGGTTCTTTATTGGCTGCGAGGCGTTGGAGGTTTCCCGGACGTCTTCCTTCGGAGACATAATTGGCTTAGCGATCTTCGCACATGCATGCTGAGACCACAGGTGCTTTAAGTGTGCTGAACGGCGGGGCATCTGATACTTCGAGACTTCGTCAGTGGGAAGACCGCGGACATGTCCCGACAGGGGCACCACCACCATTGGCAAAGTATTGTAACGGTACCACAAGTGCCACTTCCGCAAAGTTTGGCTGGTTTAAGCGTTGATGGCCTGGACACGGCCTCCCGGAAAGCAGCTGCTGACGAGAAAGGAAGCCACCACCTGGGTCCACATGCAGCGACCATACATGAAATGCCCACACCCTTCCCTTCTCAGTCAGATACCGCGCACAGCTGGTTTCAGAACATTCCTTGCTCCAAGCGGCATAGAACTATGAAGCATTTTTACATGTTCAAGACATCCAAAGCAATCCAGGCCATCTCTGTTTATCATGCCAAGCCGAGAAAAAAACACATCGCACTCAGCATTTTGGGGTCCGCCGCCTGGCCTTCACCTAGGGACCTCGTGCAGCTCTTCGGGCGAAGGCAAAGGTTTCTGCCTCGGCCCTTGAACTGCACTCTACTGCAAGCACAGACTCCTATCCACCTCGCAGCCCTTTCCTGTCGAAACAGTGTTTGGAATGCCGACGGGCGTACCAAATTGGGCTGGGACAACCGTGCACCCGCCACGGGGCCTGCTGCAGACCAATGGGTGCCCGGTGACACTTGCTTGCAATTCTGTCTCCACCTGGGGCGAAGAGTGCTTTTGCACTCTGCACCCAAACTAATCCGACCGTTTGAAAATGACTCTCCTCAGGTCAGAAAGCTAAGTATTGATCGGAAGGTGATTCGCTAGTCTCTAGCACCGAATGACAGATGGCAGCCGTGAAAGTGCGTGCATGCTATGGCGACAGGACATCAGCCACTTGCATATCCTCAATGCCAATAATAGGCTGGTTTGCATGCACCTTCCATGATGTGAAATGCACTGTGCAGAGCCAACATTCTGAGGAGTCCAAAAAAGGCGGGAAAGCCTTCAGCTGTCCGCGCGAAGGAACATATGTGCTAGCCATGATGGGTTGGAAGAATTGGATCACATCTCAGTTCATCTGGAGCAGGTTCTACTGTCTGGCCCAGCTCGGCTGTGCGCAACCTCACGACGTGCTCGGAGCCGACGGGATGAAGGCTTGGCTGCCTGACTCTGCCGAGCAGCTTGTTGAAGCACTTCACATAATCAACCTGTTGGCTTGCCGGACGATACATCCTGAAAGCCGATCACGCAACGAGCTGACGGTCCACTCACTCTTGCCCTTTGACCGGCTCCTCTCCATCTTGTCACCAGCTCCTAGCTGCTCTGCAAAGATTTGGGCACTGTGATGCACACGAACGTTGCTGATGCCTGGGGTAATTAGGTTCTTCATGTCGACCAACTGATCTTCGACGTGTGAGCAAAAGATGCTGAACTTCGCCTGTCGGGAACATTCTGGCATGAGAGTCGCAGGTGGGGCACTTCGCCGATGCTTACATCTGCCTGAAATTTGGCATTGTCATACATGACCGACAATATGTCGATACTCTTCGCATGCCTCGCAGGGTAGTTATGCTCCCGGAGTCTCCGCTAACTTACATCCGTCAAGTGCATTGGCTTCAATCGTGAAGGGCAGGACACCCTTTCAGCTTCATCGTTCCGTCGACAAACTCGTCAATCGTGACTTCCTCAGCTCGCATGTTTACCCAGACCTTGCCTGTAAATGCTGTCATCAGCATTGCCCCCATCGCCGCTGCCAACATCACTCTCAGCAAACACACTGCCACCATCTCCGTCGCCCTGCAGCTGCCATTGTCACCCGCATCACCTACATCATAGTCATCACCATTATCAACAACATCAGGGCTCCAACGAGCGGCAGCCTGTCCGAGGCTTCATGCATTTTACCAGAGCTAGAGTTTGCTGCAACCTTGCTCTGCAAGCAGTCGGCATTGTCCCGATCCGAATCCATTAGCGTGAAGATGATCGCCTCGGTCAGATGAATGATCTCCAAGCTTCTACTTTGTTGCTCTGTCGCAAGTCCACAGCTGCGCCTACTCGATGCTTAGAGCCCAACTGCTTCGCTGGCATCGATATCCATACCTGGTTACAGTATGACATATGTGCTGCTCGCTGACGTTGGCCACGTTGCTGGAATATCACAACTGCCCATCGCGGGGCAGCAGGAACGCAGCATGTCGAAGGAAACTCACGAACTCAACGCGACTGTTGGAGTGGTGGCGTGGGTGGTGGCATGGCGGGGAACCGAGCACATACTACCCACTCAGTGCCGTTGTAAATTCACATTGGCATTGCTGCAACGTCCGGAATTCACGTATGTCCGTAAGTTGGCAATCCAATCTTTCAAAGGTCGGAAATTGCGCTTGTACGAAAGCTGCGTCGGCTCCGGAACACTCAATTTCAGATTGCCCTAAACCGCTTCACGAAAAAGATTTCAACTCTGCAGTCAGTCTACAGCTGACATCCGAATCTATGGTGTGCCTCCTAGCGAAACACGGCTCTGAAAATTCGGGTCTTGGCTTTGTACGCAGTGGCGGAGTGACTCGGACCGACCCCCGGGCTTCCGGCACGACGTGAGCGCTGCAAGGTGGTGTGGTGGGGGTGGACCGCCCGTTCGCATGGCCGGCTAGGGCTAGGGCAGGACCCTAACAGAACGGCACCTTTCTCCACGATCCTGGAACTTTTCCGCGAGCTGAGCTGGTCAAGCATCTTGCCTCTCCTTCTACTGCGATCTCGCAGCTATGAGTTTCAAAAAGTTACCCGGAACGCGTTTGCTGGGGGACGGGGGACAGGGAGCCGAGAAAGCAATCGCCATTCCGGCCTTGGACCCTTGCAATCCTCGCTACGCTGCTCTACAATGGCACACGCCGCTGAGACTATGTGGGGGCTGATCAAGGAATGCACAATCGAGCAACAACATCTGATCTGCAGAAGAGCCACCAGAGAAGTATGCCTTGACCCAGGGGTTCTGCAAATGGTTCTCCAGCTCCCTGTATGTCATGGAACCACTCATGTCTCCTTGGATGACATGGCACCTCTGCCGGCGAATGCATTCAGAGTCCTTGCATTTCTGCGATTGAGATTCGATCTGCCTGCAGGGTGCAGGTTTGTGCTTATAAGCAAGCGTGAGCTGACGGCGAAAGGCTACATTGCTTGGCATGGCCTCTTTGAAGATTCTCCTGACTTCATCTGCAGTTCTCTTTTGGTCTTCCGTCCAAGACTCCACCACCTCATCCTGCCGAAAGTTGAAACTTCGTGAATTCAAAGGCACATGAAAGTGAGCCGCATGGTATTCCACAGTGGCAATCTGCAAGACCTCACATGTGCTTGGCCGCGCTTCTTCGACATAAGTTTCAGGAGAAAGGGGGAACACCCCTTCAGTTACGATCCTCTGTGAGCACTAAACCGAAGCCGCAGCCAGAGCCCAACGAAGCCTCAGCCTAGCACGCATTGACAAGTCCTCTGTGCGAGTGCACACCGCACTGTCGACAAAAATTCCCGTTACCTTACATAGCAGGGGTCCGAGGCAGAGGAAAGCCTTGCAGGCTTGTGACTTGGCTCAGGGCCAGACAACATTCAACACGCCAACCAAGCTCAAGCCTACGTAGAAGGCAAACAGCACAAAATACCTGAGCATGCCAGAACATGCGCCGCACGCTGAAATTCGCAAGGACTTGGATACTGCGGGTTTGCATTACACAGTCAAGACACACCTCTCCAAAGTAAATGCCTCGCAAGAGCTCCGCATACATCCACCAGTCGTTTCCCCCGGTGATGGAGCAGAAAAGAGCAATCATCCTCGGGATGGGTATCGACAGTAAAGCTGGTCGCTCACACCGAAACCCCTCAGGCTCTCAAGCGCACAAATGCGGCTGGTTGCTGCCACGCCACGTGTCAAAAAGGGTGGAGAAGTACCTGTTTATCCTGGGGCATCAATCAATCAAGCAGTGTCCGCGCTCGGCTCTCCATGGTGCAACTATGCGCCCGGCTTCTCGACCTCCATTCTGTCGCCACTGCTGCTAGGATCCATTGAATCATAAGAATACGAGATCGCCATATCAAAAATCACACTGAAGACGAACCTTAGCAAAAGCGTGATGTGATCAATCCTGCATCTCTCGAATGCTCCACTTGGGTCTTGATGCGGCGATGGTGCATGACAATGCCGATCAAAACGAAGGCCCACAGAAGGGCCTTCAAGGCCGTTGGCGAAACGATGCAACCATCATGTCGAAGGTGGTGTGGCACTACTGTTAACAGCATCCAGTTGGTCGGCCCAAGTCGCGGCGAAGGAGTTCAGCATTGCGAAGAGCATAGTACGCAAGCTCCTCAACGCCTTCACCTTGGAACATCTTGGGATCGTCTAACATGAGGACGAAACCCAACTCAGGAGTCAACCTGGTGACGAATGACACCCAGCTTGTCTTGGCATGCTCTATCTTGATTTCTTGTTACTGTCACGGCGTTAGGTCGAGGATCTGTTCGCACCACTCTGACGACGCGGACCAGTCGGAAGACACGGAAGACTCGCAGCAAGGACCTCAGCTGCTTGCACATCGGTTTTACTTTGACGAGCCTGGCAAGGGGAAGCAAGACCGAAGTAGCTTAGCCTGCGGCAGATCTATCACGCCCTCGGGGGCCGACAACTCAATGATGGCGTTTAAAACCTTGAGAATCGAAACTCGTTCAGCATGTGCAGGAGCACACAGGAACGCCAACTAAAAGCTGAGCATGTAGCCAGGAAGACATCGAACACGTTCCACCACATGTCCTCAACATCTGCATGCACCACGACTTGTGCAGCAAATCAACAAAAGGAAGCGCTTACTTACAGCGAAGTCTCTTCACCTGTGAAGAACGACACCTTCTCTGCGAGAATACGGACCATCAGCTCCAATGTGAACCTCAGCACAGGCTGGGACTGGGGAGCCAGGCCAGGCCATGCCCGGAGGCTGGAAGAGCTTCAAGCCCTCTGGGATCAAGGTTTCGAGCACGGGGCCAAACTGCAAAAAGAATATCTGGATAAACCGCAGGCTGATAATGATCCAGTCCTCGGCACCGCCGCAGGGCACACTCGACTCAAGCCGGAATGAGCTCCGGGGCATTGCCTAAACCGCCTTAACCCAACAGACATCTGTCTCCAAGACTCCCATCATCCGGTTGTAGCTGTTCGTTAGGTGGGCATCTGCCACATATCCTCAGCAGGATGGTGAGATGGACTTAAGATTCCGACTGTACAGTATGTAATTCTGCCAGGAAGCCAATATAAACAGTGTTCGCCTTGGATAGGATGGCATAGGCGCGGTATATGTCCAGCAGCGAACCCTTGCTTTCCAAGCGACTCCAATGGCCAGTACGCACATGGTCCTGAACAGCATACCATCGGCGAAGCGTTGTACGATGCTTCCGTGGCCTGACAGCAAAATACGGTCAACAACTTCTGGCACATGCTTCCACTCTTTCTGAGACTTTTGACACTCACTCTCGGACTAGCCTGGCAAGGTCTGCAGAAGTAGGTACGACGACGATCGTTAACTGCCTGTAAGCTCATTAGCTCACAGGGTGCTGTCAGACGCGATCCCATACACGCCAACACCAAGTGTCCAAGCATAACACCGATCCCAACTGACAGCAGGCTCCCAGAGCACAAACACTAAACCGAAAAAACCCACCCCCTAGCTCCGTACTCCAGGAGCCCTGTGAAACAGCGCTCGGCACCACTACCAACTCACATCACTCCAAGGCTTCAGTGTTTGCAGCATGCAGTGCAGCAGACCTTTCGCATCGTCCACCTCCACTCATACTCTCGCTTATACATTGTCCCATCGTGCAGCTGCCCATGCGCATTTTGTTAAACCAGGACATGCACCATGCACCATGCAGTGATCTACCATGCAGTGATCTGAACATCCATCCACAGGAGGACAAAGAGCCGCTCCCCCAGTAACGAAGGCCCGATCAGCTTGCTTGAACAGCCGATGCAGAGAGGCACAGTGTCATGTGCTAACTTTGTCTGTCGTGCAGGAGACACCAGGCTGAATACACCATGTCCCGGGAAAATCGTGCCAGTTGGTCCGCCAGTTCCCAAATTCATCATGCAGTCTGCACACTCATCAAGCAGGAAGCTCCGAGGCCATGCAGAGCCCAGGAAAGGCAAACCCATGCAAAAAGGGATGTCGCCAATACCATGCAGTGACATCTCCTATCCCATGAAGCAGGACTGAGACTTAGATTTCGAACGTCTTGTGCACAGCATTCTACCATTTTTTTTTGCTTCGGGGCTCCGTTGGATTTGCCCCTCGCATAGCCACTATGCGGCCATGCATGTAGCATTAGAGACTCAACGACTAAGCGAAGCTGATTCAAGTTACAGTCGTACTGAAGCACGACTAAGCGAAGCTGATTCAAGCTACAGTCGTACCGAAGCAGGCCATGTACGACATCATCATAGATACATCAGTATCACACCACTTCGATGTGACACATACGAAGCTCAGGCCCGTGCCTGGTGCTGCACAGCATTCTCCACGGATAAGTTGCAGCAGCTCTGGCATGCTCCAGGGTGCTTTCCTCAGACGTCAGCATGCAGTGCTCGAGCTGCCAAGCCCATGTGGCGCATAATTACGCTGCTTGCAAGTTTCTCTCCGGGGAATACCGTGGGACTCTTCAGCATACCTATCCTGACAGGTCAGAGAAGCACCCTGAAGCGTAGCGCCGAAGGAGCCATGATGTGGGGAGTCCTCAAACCAGACAATGTTTCCACCTCTGGTGGTCCCTCATCTGCGGCTGAGTCCGAAGCTGCCTTGGAGGCGAGGTGTGTGGGCGCGACAGGTGGTCTTGCGGCTGCTCGTATCAAAGATTCTCCAATACGGCCACGCCACTCTGTTCGCATTAGCCTTCGTGGGGCTCGGAGACTTGGAAGTGGATTCATCCCAAGCTGGCTTTGTGCCTTCGCATGCATTCGAGATTCGAGACTATCGGAACTCCTGGACTCTCCAGGCGGTGCACCTGTCCATTAGGTCTGTTGACTGTTGAGGTTGACGCTCGGCTGGGAATTAAACGGCTCAAACGGCAAAAGTCTAACCACAATGAACGACAGCCTCAGCACATCTTCCGACATAATTGCTCTCAAATCTGTGCAAGCAAGTGGCAGACAAGGTGGTCGAAGGATACACGGGGACCATTGGTTGTTCTGGAAACCGCTGCTTCTGCAGGGGCTGTCATGCTGTGGTCAGCTTTCAGCTCGAAAGGAGTGGCTGCGACGGTGCCTGGAGCAAAGGGATGATCGATCTCGAGCACCTCTGGCTCCAACTCCTGAGCTGAACTCTGGGAAGCGGTTCCCAAATCGACAAGGAGCGGTAAATCCAACAGCCAGGCTCCTTCGGAGCTCCCCTTGCCTCGCGCAGCTTTCCACCCAGCTCTTGCACCTCCGTCTCCAGCCTTCTGTTTTCCTGCGGGCGGCCGCTACCTGTACTCTGCTACTGTCTGCACTCGCCCGGAACTTTGATTACCTCGGCTCGGATCCCTCCTCGAGAACATCCTGGCACTGCTTCGTCAGTTCCATGAGGCAGCGGTTCAAGCGGCTGCCAGCCGCCATGGGTTCTTAAGGTCCTGTCGACTGTGACTGTGGGCTCCTTAAGTGCTCGCTCTGATCTGCACGGTGCGAGTGACGACGGCCAATGGCCCACAAGCAAAGCTTTCAACGTATTCGTGCTAAGTCCATGTCTTGCACAATCGCAGAGGTTGCTGCTGAGCAATTCCGGGCATGTTGATGTAGAAGATAGGCAGGTTTGGCCCGAAGGGGCCCGAAGGCCAATGTTTGTCTTACTAACAGCGGCATTCCCACATGAGCAGTTTGTAAGGCCTGTGCATCCGGAACGTGGTGAACTTGACGTGCCGCTGACAAGTGCTCGAGCCTTTTCCGGGAGCGCTGAACTTGACAGAGTTCCGCAGGCGAAGCACTACAAGCTGGGTTTGCCGGCAGCTCTGCCAGCGAGGTCTCCGTAAGGTGAGACTGTCGGGCCACCTGATCAGCAATTCATTTAGTTCTACTAAAGCTGGCACGAGCACAGCCTGCAGAGCGTCTCCGGTCAAAGCCTTGGGCTGCGTGATGCTCACACACCTCCAGTAGCCTTCAATCCTCTGATGTGTACCACCATGTAAACACCAGGTAATATCATGCGGTTGCATGGCGTGGAATGCGCAAGGGTTGCTCAAGTGGAGCAAAAGAGGAGCATGCACGTGCAGTTCGAACATGTTTAATTCCAAAAGGAACGAGACTCTCTACAGCTAAAGACGTGCTCACAGGGCTGATGCGTGGAAAAGAGACGAGCACGACGAACGATCATGACTCTGTTCCCCTTCCCAGTGTCTTACCTGTGCCAGTACTGTATACAGTACACTGTCAAACCAATCATACATGACTGTTTCCGGGCTGTCGTATCCAATCATCTCGTCCATGGGAAGTCCGGAAGCTTTAAAGTTGAATTGGCGAAAGCAGCACAGCTCATGCACTGCGCAGCATCTCGAAGGTGTGTGCATGGAAATTAAGCTCGAGAGGCATTTTCCCCTTTCGCCCAGCAAAGTCGCATAAAGTCGCACCAGGGGCAGGAGCAAACTTGGGTTAAAGCGCACGAAGGATGCTGTGGTTTGGAGCGCTCTCACTCGAAAGGGAAAATTCAGCTGGATGCGGTCTGCACCAAATACGCGAGAGACATGCTTCAAGGCGAGCAGATTGTGTGCTGCATTACTTGCTCATGGAGGTATGCAGTACGCTCGGAACATTCGCATCAATGCCCGAAGAAAAGCTTAGCCGGTTGAAATCAGGGGACATGGCTGCCAGCTAGCCGAGCTTCGCGCATGCTCGACATCAGGGTCGACGACCAAATCCAACTCCAAAACTTCGCCCAACGCAGCACGGGCCTGCAAGTCACCCAGAAAGCCACCCGCACGAGCCATGCCAAGCAGGCCTCTTAAAGTTTCATAACGTCTGTGGCTCTCAGATTCTGAATGAAAGCGAGGCTTCCGAAAACGGAAATCATACGTCATACATGTATAGATCCGCAGTTACATGTACCGAACATGGGGCGAGAAGAAAGTGCAGGACGGGTTCACAGCTCAAAATCGGTCTCTGTCTAACTCTGGAGCCCCAGGGACCGGGGCCCTTTCTGACAACATGACATATGTAAGCCAAAACATGGAATAAGATACAATGAGTATGTCATCGGCAATGGTTCGAGATGTCTTTACCACCGAGAAGTCGGAGAGCTTGAATTGAAATAGTCGAAGCTTTGTGACAAATCCCTCGAAACCATGAATTAGGTTCGCAAAGACGGGAAGCATGTTCTCACAACCAGATCTTCGCCTACTTTCCGTTTGGGCTGTAACAAGCAAGTTAGCATCACAACGAAGCTTTCTTTGCACAAGCTTTCCTGAATGGTGACCCTGCGGTTGCAGGGGAAGCTTGAGCGACCTTGGATAGCTTGCCTCTGACAAAACACGACCCCACCATGTCCAAACACTTTCACTTGCGCAACGCTGTGCCTCCGCCGAAGTGGAAGCTGCTGCTGCTCTCGCCAATAACTTGTCTGGCACTACCTCCAGCAACTTGGCACAAACACACACTCCTATTCCTCCCCTTTTGCTGTGTCGTCTTCTCCTTCTTCTCTCGTGCCCTCCGCTCTCTGAGACTCCAGCCCACTGTGGGGACCTGGCCAATAACAGGCACAGAAGGCTGTCTAGGTGGGTCAGTCACTGTGCTGGAAAGACTTGGAAACCTGTCTACCTTTCGCACTTGGGGCCCTTGCTGCGCAAGGCTTCTGAGAGCTCGTGTCACCGGCAAGTGCATCACTGCTGTCCATGCTGTGGCCGACTTGACAGGGAATCGCTTTTCCACACATGGAGTTGTTGCAATCGTTCGGTCGTACGGTACACTCTCATATGCCTACACCCACTCCCATTTGTGTCGAACAACTTTAAAAATTCCAGCAACAATAGTCACTTTCGGTTCCCGGCTGGACCACCGTCGCTCCAACGAGAGACGGTCAAAGAAACATACTCTTGAGCTTACGATCGTCCAAATCCCTGGCCCGCTTGCTTTATTGAACTTTATTGCTGCCATTTGCAACGAGCAGTTGGCTGAAGGAACGAGGGCGCCCGTGGGGCTGCAAGCCTTTTGCATGTTAAGTCCACAAGCAGCGGCAATTGAATATCCATCCGCTTCAGTGCGCAGAACAGCGTTGCAAAGCATCGCCACTCCGGCGCGATGCAGGACCCGAATAGCAAAGCAAAGAGGAGGGAACTGTGGTGACAGTGACTACTACCAAGTCGGCATCGGCCGAGGCCGAGGCACATCAGCGATTTCAGCTACTTTGTCGCGCCACGATGCCAACCTCTCGACCTGAGCCATGCGTGAAGGAGTTCGTGCGGAAAGCATTTTCGCCGCTTCTCGCGTGGGCTGCCTCGGGCCTTGTTTGGAGGAGCGACCATAGAACTCCTTCACAGCTGTGCCTGTGGGCCTGGCTGCGGCTGCATGCAAGGGCGGAGCCTGAGATGCTGTCGCGATCTGGCAAAGCATGAGGACTCGTCGTGGCAGTTATAGAGGAGCCAACAACGTTGCGGAGTGCTTTCCGCAGAGTTGCACCTGCGTGAATGCACTTTGGCAGGCGCGACATGGAGTTCAGGTTTGCCTCGCGAAGGCAAGTTTCCTGGCCGATCTGGTGCCGCGGCAAGGCCATCCCAAAGCGAGGCACCTGCACAGTTGACGTGCCAGCAGCTTGTGCTTACTACTATTGCGTCGGCCATGCGAGATGAACATGCCAAATGGTTGCATCCGGCAGAGCAAAAGCGAAAAGCATCTATGAGTGACAGTCAAGCTTCACTTGGGTTGGCAATCTGTGCGTGGGCCTGAAGCTGTGCACAGTGCTGCAACTTGCGACGGCGTTTGCCACTCCTCGGGCTGGCCACACCGTGCGACGTCAATGTCGACTACACTTGAACTAGCAGAAACTCTGAGAAAGCCGCAGGCCAACTTCGACCTGAACACTTCGCACAAAAAGACCACGTCTTGACCAAAGTGTTCACGCCTTCGCTCCCAGGCATCAAGAACCTCGGCACCATGGAATATAATGACCATAACTAACATATCTCTTCTGTAACTATAAGCCTCGACTCGACTGGTATGCCTCTTTCAAGGAAGTCGAAGGAATGACATTAAAGCAACTAACGCACGCAAGGACCCCTAGTGACTCCCTGTCCCATCGAGCCTGCATGTAATTGCAACCTCACTGATCGGATGCCTGTTCAGCAGTGCTCGTCTTCTGGGAAGCACGCTGTTGAATCGGCTGACAAAGACTCGTCTCCACCTACGCACAATTGCGATGCTCTCACAGGTTCTGTTGGCTGACGTACATCATGTACTCGCGCAAAGAAAGTCAGAGGCACAAGCCGAATCATTGCAAGGTTCCTGAATTACGAGCGCACACGACCTGACATCCTCACTGCGTGAGTTTCTGTAGTCCAAGGCGCGGAATGAATCTGAACTTGTGCCACTCTAGACATGGGACATGCAAAGGGAATTGCCTTGACGTTTCATCAAAGCAGCTGGAAACCAGGCTCCACGAACTTCTCAACGGTTTGAGCTGTACAGGAAGTCCAAGAACAAGTTGAGCGAGTATTTGTCAGAGTCATCTTGCCATTTCAATGCTCCGAGCAGGCGACTCGCATCCTTCGTGCGCCATCTTCATAAACCGCCCAAGCCAATCCTAGAGGTGACTATGAAACCTGTTTGTCATCCTACCGGAACGATGTGCTGGCGAGCAGCTGATGCTTCCACGCCGATGCATTGCAGGACCTGTAACTGTCGATACGCGGAGAGCTCAGTGCGCACAAAGAGCAAGGACCCGAACAACCTCTTAACGCAGAAGTTCGGCTTCGCAGCACGAGCAAGCTTGCGATCCTGCGTGCATCCGGGTACAAACATGGTACAAGCGACATTCGAGCTTGTTTCAACTGGAGCTGGCCGAGACTCACTCTGGCAGCAGGAGTTTGTTTGTTTGTTTCTCCACCGTTGCCCTGGAGCCGTCGCGTCAGGTTTGACTTTGTTTCGGCCGTGTAAAATCTTCGCCGGTCAGAGCTTGCCTCAGGAGAAACAAGCGACTGCAGGAGCTCGTTGGTTTCTGCCATAGAGCTTGCTGGAAAAACTCGTCCCACACCTAGAAGCAAACTCCCCCGTCAAAGTTGGTTGCTCGCCGCCGACACGAATTCTCCCGGCCAGAGTTTGCTACAATTTGTTGGTCGCCCCCAGCCAGAGATTTTTGTGGTACAGAAAAAAGTCTCCCAGCACGTCTGTCAAGCCAAATCAACAGTCTCGAAGAGGGGCAACTATTCTCCGCAAAAAAACAAACTCACAAACAAACAGGCTTGGCTTGGTTGGTTCTCTCTCCGAAACTAAAACTGCCACGGAAAGTTGGCTTCTCCTGAAATCAACAAACCTAGGTTGGTCATACATGTGCAGCACACTCATACCGTATTGTTTTGTTCTTTAAGTTTTGATACAAAGCCCTGCAATTGCCATGTTACCGCTGTATGCCCATGCTGCTCATCTCCGGGGCGAAGACTGGAGAAGATAGCTGCACTGCTTGAACTGCGGGGTGTTGCATCCGGCTCTTTCGACAGGGAAATCGCGAATCCGACCCGGCCACACGGATAAAGATCGGTATTGCTCTCCAACATTGGTCGCTTTGCCGCGAGCGTAGTGGCGCAAACGTTGTCGCAAAAGCGGGCGTTGCACGAGCGGTTGGATGAACGGCGCTGGGAAGTATGCACGTTCCAATGATTGGCTGATTTGGATTTGCGGTCTGACAACCGCAAAATGCATATAGGTTGACCATGCTAGCGATCGCGGCGATGCCACCCCCAAGTTAAGCTCAACCATGCTGCCATCATAAGCTGGTCTGCTGAGAAGAAGGACGCAGTTGCCTTTGCTTTGCCTTAGGGTCTCTTGAGCAAGAAAGCAAACATCAAATACGATATACTGCCCCCTGCTCGACTGCTCCGAGTCGCGGAAAGCCAGCTCCACCTTTTGCCGGCCTGCCTGTTGCCCTCCCGGCTCCAAGAGCCTTAGCACGCTGCAAGCAGTCAAGCGGTGGGACAAGTGGTAGTGGTGGTGGTGGTGGTAGTAGTAGTAGTAGTGGTAGTGGTAGTGGTAGTGGTAGTGGTAGTGGTAGTGGTAGTGGTAGTGGTAGTGGTAGTAGTAGTAGTAGCAGTAGTATAGTAGTAGTAGTAGTGGTAGTAGTAGTACTAGTAGTAGCGGTAGTTTGCCTCCTGCATGGCTGAGTACACGAAGCAGGGCAGTAGGTACAACAGTCTAGTGAATTCCATCCACACTTGTGGATTATGTGCTGTCGGATTCACAGCTGGCCACGCAAAATTTCAGTCCAACCTAGCCGCTTCTCGTGGCTCGCTTCTGCAACCGCAATTCTCAGTTTTCTGCACGTTCATGCAACAACGAAATCTCAACTATGACCAATAACGAAATTTTCAAGTTGTTCCAGACCCGTTCAGGCTGCAGGTTATGTCAACTCAGCCCGCTCCACATTTAGCGGCACTGTGAATTCAACCCACACAGTCAACGCGTACTCCATTTCTTCCTCCTGGACAGCTTGATCATGAAGGTCCAATCCGGCAAAGTGTTACCATGCAAGACCAGCGCATCAAGTTTCCAGGTGTTCCTGCTCACATCTTCAGGGTCTGCCACTGCCAGTTGACAACTTTGTCTCGCCCAAGGTATTTTCCAAAGCGCTCCAGCACCACAAGGTCTCAGTGTTGCCAGTGCAATCACTGAGAAGATCAACATAGGATCATCCCAATGATGTCACCATCTCACTTGCCTGTCGCATTATCTTCTCGCTTTCAGTCTGCAAGACGCCAGTTCCCAAGACCAGGAAAAGAGTACTGGTCGGCTACGCGAAGACAGCGCAGCAGGCTCCATGAATCTGGAAGTTGAGTCAGCACACTGCAGCCTCTAAATCTCAGATGGCCCAATCTTCCAGCCTCACGCCACGTCAGCAGCTCCACATCGGTGCAGTTTCTGCACCAAGGTGTCCAGGCCAAGGCTGTGAGCACCACAGGTAGGTCACATCTCCATGCATTGACATATGTATGAATATCAAGCAGTCACAAGGATAGAACTTGGGGGCCGATGCCATCCAGCATTTAAGACGATAGAAAATAGGTGCAGATGCCAGACACGGCACTCACGCCGGCGAGTTTTGTTTAGCTTATCAGCCCGAATCTCCCCAGGTAGTAGTGGTAGATTTTGTCACCCACCTAGCACGGCTCAGCCAGCTCCGCGAGGCTCTAAATGAACAACGACGACTGGATATTGCATTCAACGAATTCTGACAACCGAATAACACAGGCCAAATTTTCCGAACACAAAAACACGGAAGTTAGAGCCACGGCTGCGCATAGGCCTGCATTATTCACAACAGGAGCACTATACAACCCAGTCGAACGACAGCGTCCGCCTCACCTCTACAAACCGGAGTCACAAAAACATAGAGACCTAACTAACAAACCGAACCTATAAGTCTCCCAGAAAGCCCAACAACATTTGCAGGACACGTGACGCACAACGTCATCGGCTAAATCCCTCCCTTCCAGCGAGCAGACCTGTTATCAGAAAACAGCGAAACACAAGTTAGGGCCACGAAGACTCAGGTCTGTCCTCTGAGGGAGGTTTGTTCACAAAGGAGTTCAGCATACAGTACCTAGCTGGATCACATTCATTACGAATTAGAGCAAGCAATTACGAATTCAGCCATGCCAGCGTTACTTACTTCGCACAATCTATACAAAAGCCGCCTTCAGCACTCTACCCTGCGGGGTTCAGATCATCTCAACTCATTTCTCATCTTTTCTCAGGAGTGTCGTTTCTGTGACAGCAATGTGCCGCAGAAACTGACACAGCCCGACTTTGTCCAGGAGTCCAGTTTACTGGGGTATGTGGCTCTCCTCTGTAGAGCCCTGCAGGAAGACCACAAACGGCCCCACTTCACAGCCCACTGCCCACATCCAGGCCCCCGCAATGACGGCCAGGGCTACACCCTGACCTCAAGGGTGCACATCACCAGCATAACGGTCAGGGAAGTATGGGTATCCTCATACATCACGAGGCTTGCTTCAGCATCATATGGCAGTCATGCTCTGTATGCGTGCGGCAGCTCAAGGCCCTGTCCGCTTGTTGAGCCTGCTAGGGCCCCATAACCAGCTCCTGTGTGCAGACTGTAGTCAAGGTCATACTGTAGCCACACCCGTTGACGGCCATGTGAACATTCTGACCTCTCCAAATGGGATCAGCGGGAATTGCTTCGGCCCGACCAGTTCCAGCAAGCTACATTGCAGCTACAGAGGATATTTGGCGGCAGCATACCCGGGCACGGTCTTCCTCAGGCCAATGACGGCCCGGCATCAGCCGCGTACAACAGCCACGTCTGTCTCAGCCAAAGTCCACCACAGGGCAGATCGGACCTTTTTCTGGGTTATGTGGGTTTCGCCGATTTGCGCCGCGGAGTAGGTACCTTTGACCAGAAGGACCGTACGAGAAGCTTTGGCAGGAGAGTCAGAGGCACTGAGATTTTTTTGCCATGGCATGCAGGCTCAGATGCACAGTGTATGTCTTACGGGTCAGGGAGACTCTATCAAGGGGAGGGGAGTACATGGAGTAAATGAAAATCCCTAGGGCAAATTGGGCGACCCGTTGCGACAGGAACAGGACAGGAGAGAGGGCAGAGAAAAAGGCAGAAAAATTAAGGCAAACAGTGCAGACAGTGCCGCAGTTCAGGTAGAGGAGGCAAGGGCAAGCAAGAGCAGGGCTGCAGCGCAAGGAAACCAGTGCAAAAAACAAGTAGCAAGTCAGTACTGAAAGCCAAAAACTTCCCTGAGTCTTCAGCTCACTAAAGGTCGGCCGCTGTTCCTCGCATGTTGCACGCAGTGAGTGCGGCCAAGATTCACTGGTCCTCAGGCCGACGCTTTACCCCGGAGACCCACGAAATCATCTTCACCAGCATCATCATGAACGATAACACCACCAAACGACGACGACTCATCACGAGCATGTGAGACCTCAGTCACGGAGTCGTCAGCCGCAAAGGAGGAGTTGGTTCGGCGGGGTTTCTTCGGGTCGGGCTGCAGCGGTGTACTCGGTGAGTCACACACAACCAACTATGACCTCCGCGCTGTCAGGAGTTTTCGACCCTCGTCAAGTGAATCCTGGATTTCAAGCTGCTTAAGTAGAGGGCATCCAAAAAGACTCGGGCGGAGCTGATTCTGAACCTCAGAGGGATCGGGGGCTCGGAAGCCT